AGTCACCCCTCCCCTTCCACGTTCCCTCCACCCGCGCGGACCGAACACCGAACACCCCTTCTCCTCTCTTGCCTCCGCCCCCGCAAGTAACACAGGTAATCCGCAAAAAAAATATCGTAAGTGCCTCTGCCTTCTCTTTCTTTTCAGAGTTTTGCCAACTGTTTGGTTTAGCTTTTCTCGAGAGCCTGACCGGTTAGAGGATGAGGAAAAAATACTGAAATAAGGGAAATAAGTACTCTGCACCAAGATGTAGAGTGAGATTCACTGTACATCGTGCTGCTCTGCAAGCACGAGTAACAATTAACTCACTTGCCGACTATTGGAATTGCGGGTTAGAAAGCACCGAAGATTTTGTGATTTTTGGCGATTTGAGTCCCTGGCGGGCGATTTCTAGCAACTCGCTGCTACTTTGGGCGACTTAGGGCGCGCTCTTGTGGCGATTTGACTCACTAGACATCTCACATCTCCAGGCCGCAGTCGTTTTGTTTACGTCGAACACATAACCCCAACAACAAAAGAGAAATTTATATTTAGTGGTGTTGTTGAAACCCGAAACCAATATACACTGTGTCTTTAAACCCCTTTTTTCTCAGCAGTTTTAAAAGTAATTTCGTCATTGTTCAAAGTTTACAATGGCTGTATATAACGACGAGAAACTGCGGGCTATGGAGGATGAAATGAACAGGTATATGTTTGGTTAATTTTCTGTCCTATTAGTTGATTGTAATCGGTGAATCTAAAAAATTCCGTTTTCACCAATTTTATTGTTGTTGCAGATTTGAGGAGGAAATCGGTCTTCCCATCTTGCCACCACCACCACCACCCCATCTCCCTGCAGTAATCGGTGCAAATACCTATCATACTGTTCAAAGACGACTGGAGGAACAGCAGCATGTCCCTGGCATGCCAGTACCCATGGGTGGATACCCACCTGTAGTTGGCATTCCCCCACCTCCACCTCCACCTCCAGTTTTAATACCTCAACAAGTTAGAGCACGGCCACCAATTCGCCACCGTAAGTTCCAATCCCTTGTGTGTTAGACATAAAGCTCCAACAAGTTTTTAAAATTACTATTTCTTGGGACAGCTATGCGACCAATGGGAATTGGACAGCCAAGCTATCAATCAGCACCTTATGGGATGATGTCACTCCCACCTGCTCCGTCCATGCAACCAGTGCCATCTGTTGTCAGGTATGCGATCCATATAAATTTCTATCAAAGTAAATTTATGGTAATTTTGTCAATTCCTATTCTCCTATTTCTTCTTACATGTATGACAGTCAGATTGCGCTGTAATTTTTGGCATACAACGTTTTTCCTCTTGAAGTGTGTGTTTCTGTTCTAGAATTAGTCCTTTTACATGTTGAAAACCATTTATAGACTTTTTTTGCTGTTAATGTTCCAAAACACTGTAATTTGCTGAAACGCTTGAGTGTGAGCAGGTGACTTTGTTATTATATGTAATTATTGTCATTGTTTTGTTTTAAATATTTAGCGCCACCCCTATGATGTATGCTCCTCAAGTAAGTGAGCCTCAAATTCCAATGAACATGATGGACCAGGGTGTATATAATTCATCCGATGTGTCCAGTATTCCCCCTGCAGCTTTGGCTCAGGAGAGTATTCCCTCTGTGCCCATAGTGGACCCTAGCGTGGAAAGACGAATTAAGCCAAAGGTACAGTCTTATGCCTTTTTATCTTTACCTTTCTCATCAAACAAATTTCTTGAGACTGCCACATTGCCTTTTCAGCCAAGAGAAATTCCTATATTACCTCCACCTCCTATGCCCCTAATGGATGACATAGGACCATCCAAGAAAAAGAAAAATAAGAAAATTGTGCGACAAGCTGGTGGCCAGTCATGGGAAGATGCGTCATTATTAGAGTGGGAAGAAGGTATTATGAGGGTTGTTTTTTTTAATATTCTGTATCTTTGAGCTTGTAGTTCTAGCTATTTTTCAATTAATTTTATACAACTTGTTTTTTTGTTTTTTTTTCCAGATGACTTTAGATTATTTTGTGGTGATTTGGGCAATGATGTAACTGATGAAATTCTCATTCGAACTTTTAGTAAATATCCATCCTTTTTGAAAGCTAAAGTCGTGCGAGATAAACGGACAAATAAAACAAAAGGTTTTGGCTTTGTCAGTTTCAAAGATCCTCAAGATTTTACCAGGGCAATGAAGGAAATGAATGGTAAGCTTCAGAATTTTTAAAAAAATACTTTGTCAAATTTTAAACTTTAAACGATCTTTCTTATTTTTATTCTGCTTGTAGGGAGATATGTTGGAAGTAGACCAATAAAGTTACGTAAAAGTTCTTGGAGAAATAGATCAGCAGAAGTCGTTCGGAAGAAAGAGAAAGAAAAGGCTGCACTTATTGGCCTTCTGACTGGAAAATAAGAGTCCCTGTTTGTAAAATTACCCATTTTGACTTTTCAACATAATGAAATAGCTGTTAGTTTTCTTTGCTCCATAATTTTTTGTTTGAATTGTACCTGAAATCACTATTAAACCTTGGTCTAAATTGTGTAGATATGTTTACATTGATCTTTTAACAATGTATTGGTGTTTGAAAGCTTTATGTCAGAGATTGTAACAGAAAGAAAGCAATAAATTAGTCAAGAGTTTCATGAGCTCCACATGAGCGTTTTATTGCTTGCAACTAACCAACTGTTACAGAGCTGAATCTGCCTCTAACAGCAGTACACAACACAGGGAAAGCTGCAAATAATTTTATATCACACAATAATCAAGTAACAAAGTCTTCCAAAGTCATTACCATGGGAATGTGGGCACAACATAGAACTAACAAAACAATAAAAGAATCTAAATACAACTTGGTATCTTACCTAGAAGTCACAAAGTTTGATTCTAATCCAGTGAATGTATAGTTGTCTCCTTTTTAAAACAAACAAAATCACACCAATCCAGCTATTGGTATGAGAATACTGTATAAATATTTTCAAACAATCGCGACAATTAGTCATTAACAAGTCCTGTGATTTGTTTCCAAAAAATCCTGTGATCAGACACATTTTATTAGAAAGAATAGAAATGCAATAAGTTATATATAGAAAAACTACCCCTTGTAAGGTATACTTAAAAATCCTGTGATTAGTTTCTTCAGAAATCGGAAATCAGAAAAAATGGATATGAATCCTCTGATTTGTTTTCATTTTAAAATCCTGTGACTTTCCTTGTAAAGTTAAAAAAAAAAAAAAAAGGAGTTTGATATATCACACTCATTGCTGAATGTTTCACCCTACTGCAAAACCAATACCAACTGCATTGATCCACATTAAATGCAATACTTCCAATGTTGCACTACACTCTGCACAGTAAATTTTATCACAAATATCCTGTGATCATTCTTACATTTTGCCAAATCTTACATTTCTACACAGCATGCTTAGCACACCCTCTCAAAAATCCTAATTTAAGACATCCACAATTCAGATTGCATTTAAATATTACTGATCCCTAAATCTATGACTTCTTCACTTACATATTTTTAATGTCTTCAGCATTATATACCACTGCATTTACTCTACATATTCATACACTCTCCTTAAATAAAGATTAAATCATTGGCTTAGCATAGAACTTGGCTATTACAACATAAAACAGAATGGTTCTTTCACTGGAATTAATAAAAATTGTTTGGTTCATTCGGAATTCACTAGAATCCATACAAAGATGTTTACCACTAGGAAAGTTTCCCTCAGATAATTGCAGATTGAAGAGAGGAAATAGGAAAAAACAAAGTGCAAGAGAGAAATTTAGGATGAAGTCTTGGTCACAACAATTTTAAAAATAGGAGGAAAAGTTTTGGGTATTGTCCAAGCTGACAAGATCAATCAGACTACAATTAATCTTCATTTTCCAATCACAAATATCAAGAATCTTTTCAACGCAGGGGCCAGAACAAAGGAATCGAGAAAAAGAAAAAAAGGAAAGAATAAGCTTGAGCAAACACCAAATAAACCAAACAAGCAAGAACTTGGCAATGTTTTTGAAAAGGTTTGAAGCGTGGTTGATCAAAACGAAAACACACTCAATGTAATTTGTGCGCTATCCCCCTCCCTTCCATCAAGAAAACTATTCTAGATCCTAATACAAGCTTTCACCATACTAAAAGCTGTTATGATGTATCAACTGTTACCAAACAAAAACATGGTTAATTGCTACAATAATCAGCATTGATAACACGGATACAAAATTCTAAAGTATACCCATAATATAATACCAAATGCTCAGTTTATCACAATAAGAGTCGTTCCAGATGTTTTCACAGATGGGAAAATTAATGATGTAAAGGATTTAGCCACAGCACAAAAAGTATAACATGTATGCCAAAGGATATGAAAGAGTGACAAATGTACCTCATTGAAAACCGTTTAGCCAAGCTGTTGAGAATTTCTGAAGGAAACCTGGGCTGTGTATGGCAACAATAGAATAAAGGTAAGCATTACAGGTGATGATTTGGCTAACTTTTCCATGTTTGATGACCAGAGAGTGGTAACAAGATACACGCCTAATTATTATGTCCTTGCATCGTACCTCCGCTCTCCTCGGGGAATAAACAAATATATCATTACAATTCAAAGGAAAGAACAATTCACAGGAAAGAATCACTTCAAATGCAAAATTTTGATGAACTTTACTATTGAATATGGAAGCCTTGAATCAGCACCAAAGTAATCAAACTCGAAAAATAGGAAGCTCTATAATGGAAGATCATATTGCTAATGTAAGGTAAAGAAATATAATTTGGAAATAACAATACACATCTAAAAACATGCTAAGAGGCAGGGATTGGCTTCAATTGAAAAATGTTTTCTAGATACAGCGTAATCATAAATGTTCACAACCTTATGGAATTTGGATTATATGTGTATGCCTCGTACCGTACTGTACAACTACACATTCACATTACCTGTTCTTGCTCGTCAAGAAATGGTAACATAGTTTCTGAAATGAAATTTTCACTGGATTGAGAAGTTGTTTTAACTTGAGTAAGGTTGCATAACATTACATTTCCTCATAATGTTGCAGAAGTTCACGTACTGCTATTCACCATGAATCCTTTGAATATTTCCGAAAAGAAACAGCAATGCTTTTCTCTTCCCCATACATTTTGAGCAACAGAATGTAGGAAAGCCTACAAAAAATTACCAGTAAAATCAAGAAAGGTACAAACTGATTTGTAGCATACAAGCGGCATAATTGCATGAAATCACCAAAACAATTGCAAAGAATTCCTGTTGAATAAAAATATACAGTCATGAGCATTTATAACATAACATCTTAAAAAATAATTAGATTAGAAATTAAGATCACAAAATTCACAACACCCAAGGTCTCCATGAGAAATGCAGCAGTCTTGTAGCAATAGCAATTGCTCTGGCATCACAAAAATATACTTGCCAAGAACAAGATCTGGCTTGGACAAGATTTTCTGGTATGTGTACTGGTACTAATGCCTTAATGTTCCAATAATGTGATTAGTACAATAGTAACACAAAACTTTGAGGAAACGAGAGGTACATGGGAATCGACCAACACTAGAACACATTGTTGAGACATCTACTAACCGCTGGGAAGAGACCTTGGAGTTAGAGAGAGTGCTTTAAGAAGAAAAATAAATGAATATAGTTCAGATAAATGGGAGGGAAGGGAAGTAGGCCGTTTCTTTAGTATTGAAGGGATAAGGTTGTGTGCTATAAATATTTTTGCCAATAAGCAATGGCTTAGCAAAAGATATTCTTTGTGGAAAATAAAAGCTGTGGCCAAGAAAATGAAAAAGATGAAAACATTTGTGTACAGTACAGTAATAATTGCATGAAAGTCATAGATAGAGGGAGCTGAGCATCATGGTAGAATCAAAAGTATGGTAGAAACAATGGAATAGCCCTTAACGGAGAGTGACTAGGCCCTACACCACATACTCTTACCTAAAACTACAAGTAAGGAGAACACACAGTCCTATGAGCGTAACAAGAACACGATATTTCAGAAAGCGGCTTTTGAGTCACCATCCACTTTTGCCCAGTCTATAAACCACACTAAAGGTTAAAGTTTTGATAGGGAAGTACTGTAGTGTAAACACCAGAAAGACTCCACTCAAGACGGCAGTCAGAGCCACTAACAATTTTTTTTCATTTCACATAGGATTAATTAAGGCTGCTCTCCAAGTAAAAGAGCTCTTGAGTGGCGAAGTATGAGAAAATACTGCAAGTCACTCTAAATTTGCCAAATTTGCATCAAGATTAGGATAAATGTTTCTCAAACCACAAAATTTGCTACAATTTACACATAGTTTTAGTATTGCCTTGGAAATTCAAAATGACACATGAATTATCATTGCAACAAGAAAAGTACCCAGTTAAGGGATATTCTTCAAAACAATCCGGTTAGTGAATCAGCAACCTTACTTGCAATAAATTAGTAACACACTTTTTGTATTGGTTTCATGCACATGAATAACTCCACAACGAATATCTTTAATTTACACATAAACAATTGATTGTCTGGCTAACAAATACCAAAAATTTTACCAACAACTTACAAGGTCCTTGATACAAGCAATCTACAGCCAATCTACATGATCTACATTCTGTTACCTCCAGCACAACCACCTTAGACCACAGTATATGCATTAAAATAACACTCATTTCAGCGAGCTTGCTTGAAACAAAGCCCTTAAAACATTTTTCAAAAATAATAAAAAGAAATGAGTGGTAAAGACTGAGGTTTATGATAAATTAACAGATTGAATCAAATGCAATGTTAAACAGTCTTGTAAGAACACAAACTTTACAGATATCAAGCCCCTCCCCTCAACTCATACCAACCATTCTTCAATCTGGTCTGGCCAACTAAGCATAAGTGATGATTAAATCAAACTGCCAGTAAATAGTAAAAAGTTATCAATATAACAAGAAATAACAATCCAAATATTCTCCTGAGTATCACTTCATAATCACTGAGGGGAAGTATAAAATATTGAAAAAGTTGGATTCAGTGAAATACTGTCAAAAAGGGTATTATTAATTTTTAAACGTAAGAATAAAAATATTTGTCATCACTTTCCAACTTAACAATTTTTAAAGCTTCCCACTGTAACAGAAATAAATAAGATTAAAAAAGCCAATATGTCATTGGATGTACAAGATTCTGCAATAAAATCTCACAATTCAACAATTGTCATTCAGAGAAGTAGTAATTAATGAACAAAATCAACAAGTACAAAAGAGAGAACAATAACACCTCCTAAAAAGTAGAGACAATTTTTGGCATACATGATCAAAATTTGTGGGGTGTAATGATGTTCAAGTGAATATTTGACATACTCATATCAAAACGCGAAACAGTAATGACAAAGCATCTCAGGGTTGAATCCTTGGAGATCGATGAGCTTCGGTCGAGAGACAACTCATCTCCCTACTGATATATCTACAATGCAAGAAAGTTGCGCAGAGTCTTCATTACTAAAAACTACCAAATCTCACTGGTTCATTGATACACACATTCACCCCAAACAAAATTGAAAAAAAAAATTAAATTAGGGAAAACTTGGAAAATATTAGAATTATGGATTCACCACTTTTCACATATGGAGCAATTGATTACATAAAATTAACACAATTTTAATACTGAATTGAAAGATGCAATAGACTAGGTACAGGCAAGCTAACATGAACTGTATATGTAAATGCATTCCATGAAAGCTCAATAAGGGCAAGTCACACCATTGAAAATTAAAAAGATGCAAACTGGCTCCATAACACAAAACCTAATTTCAAAAAAACAAAAACAAGAATAATTCTACAAAATTATTGTAAATTTGAAGTACAAACAAAACAAATGCAACAAGGCAAGATAACAATAACTTTTGCTCACATTTTTCAACTCAGCTCATAACAGTACTTGAACTACAAAGAAGTGCACTTAAAATCTTAGGTGGCGTAAGTTAAAACAGTGGTGTTCATTTCCATAATCATAAATATTTGTTCGTCACCAGCTTAAAGTTACATGGGATTAAACACCCTACAGAGGAAAAATATTATGACTAGCTATCATTATTTTGACCTCAAAGACTTGTATTGCCACTGGTAAAGAAATTTTACAAACATGTATGGAAATAAAAACTACCTCGCTTTCTTCCCAAAATGGCAAACTATTCACAACACTTAAGTAAAATAGTTCCTTAAGTACACACTGTTCAACATCCCAGCAAATATATTTACAAATTCAATTAATTTATTTGTCCTGATTAATGTTAATTCATGCAGTAGCTAACAGCTACAGAACATATGAATCACATTATCAGTGGAGCTAGAAGAAATATCAAGAAAGTCACACATAGATGCTTGTTGATTTAAAATTTCAATGATTTGGCTTTGCTCTGCTACATTGTTTTATCTTAAACTAACAATAGTTAGTTCAACGGCACATTACATGACATTCTTCAGGGAAAAGCTCTATGAATGGACTTCCTTGAAATTTCCCCCATTCAATTTGCCTAAGACAGTCACCAAAAGTACTCCTTTTGCACAGAATAGAGTTACTTGTTCGTTGAACTGTCAAGTGGTCATGGGTGACCACAATAGCACCATTCTTGGATAGATCGGAATTAGTGGGATATCCAACAAGTATTAAAGTTGAGAAGAAACTACACCTTGCACAAATACCACCGAACCAGTTCTACCCTGTACCTGATGGGCACATCTTTGAAGAATAATAAAAACAACAACAGTAAGATCTGCCTCACATTCAGCTACAATTCTGATTAAGTCAACATGTATTTTAGAACATGTATTTTTAAGTCACATGTGAACACAAACCGATACCACCTTTTCATGCAATGGCTCACACTCACAACCATGGCTCGCAAAATACACACCTGATGGAATTTTTGAGGTACAAGGAAAGAGTGGAAATGTTCAGTACAAAGAGTACTTTCTACATAGGGACAGCAAGAAACAGTTACATTAAGATAGAGATCAAGAACGATTCCAAAAGAAATAACTGACTTAAAGTACTTACACGAACATATCATTCAATATCATTGTCAAACCAAACAATATAACTAAACCTCGAGCTCAAAGTAGTAGTTATGCCAAAGACAATAAAGTATGTGTCATAGTCTCTTAAAAATGAACTGGGGTATCGGTTCAATACTACCACGAAGACATTATTAGTAAAAATTAAATAACTAATGGTAATACCCCACATAAAATTACAGGGGGATTATAAGCGTAAGATTCATTGAAACATTATGCTCCAAAGTCAGTGCTTGTACTAATATTTCCCTCTGACAAGCCCAGTATGGTTTATAGTATCTTACTTTGAGCACCACAAAACTTAACACCAACGAAAATACACAATCCACTCTGTTGTAACTCATGGAATTTACCTTTCAATGCACTCACAGTGTGTATCCCCAATAGTAAAAATATGGGGAATACATGATGCTTAATTTCCAGACAAATATCACTCATTACATGATTACTTTCCAACTTTCAACCAATAAGCCAGATGTTGGGAGACAAAGCTTAAATACTTTTAAACATTAATGATTAAATGTCACAAAATAAAAACCTGCCTATTTAAGTTATCAGACTTTTGTCTACAGGAGACTAGTAATTTGACAAAAGAATGAAAATTTTAACACAACATTGTGAACGGGTTACAGGCCCACTACATGATTTGTTCCTACATCTGGCTTCAATCATCAAAACAAGCTGTTCAATAATTTTGTGCAATCAGATACATATAGTCGTCCACGACTTACATTTCAAGAAAATAAACAATAACATATCAGGTCACAATTACGGTAAGATTCAAAATATAAACGCATCAATATCACTTCTATAAGAGTCTCCATGTTACTTAAGTTTCAAGGAGACAGAATTTTAAATTCAGGTTTAAACATACAGTAATAATCATAGTTCAGAACACACAAAACACACAATAGTAATGTTCTTAAAGAGAAAGAAATCAGGTTTTAAGAAAAACGTCCGACTACTGCATTCGGAACGTAGACTACAAGTAGGCCTTGTAATACTGATTATCCTAATCCGACAAGTGGATTTCAAAACCCACTTGTGACACTTTTTGTTCATCTGAAAGAGACATGATAAGCTTTATATCCTAGACATCTTTAAAAATATGATATAACCAAATCAAAGAAAAGAAATAGACAAATAGCACAACATACCAATAGCCTCATAGCACCAACCAGATACAAATTTTCAATCTATATTTTGGGTATCACTTGAAGATGCAATTTGCATCTCTCTAATTTGCACTTCTCTCTTAATACCCGATAGACGCTCATCCATTTCTTTTTGAAGAGTTAAGTCAATCTGAACAAAACACATGACACAAAGGAAAAACATGAGAACATAACAATCTTTGCCAGGTGCACATTATGCATGTGTAATGGTTAGAGCTAGGTGGCTTGCTTGCTAAACCTAGGATTGGCTGTCACAACACAGTAACCCTAGGAATAATTATCCAGCTGGGGTAAGCTGACACCTAGGAATAACCAGCATTTAAAGTGGCTAGGATTACGCAAGTGGTCTGGCCAAAACCTAGCTTAAGCCAGCCAAAAATAGGTTTAGCAAGCAGGCCACCTCCCTAGCTCAAACCGGGAATCTAAATATATCCTACCTTCTTTTTTTCCACATCGAGGGATGATCGTACTGCCAGATATTTCTCCTCTAGTTCCTTTTTCTTGTGTTCGTACATTTCTTCTAAACGTACACGTTCACTAACACCTCGCTCAACAGCATTACTGGTCAATTCTTTTTTCATCTTCTCCATTTCCTCTCTATCCTTGTGTTTCTTCACTAGCTCTTTCATTTCTTTTCTTCGAGTAGCCTCTAATTTGCGCATCATTTCTGCAGTATCTCGATCTTGTAATGCTTTTAGAGTTTTCATTTGATTTGACTGTGATGACTCTACTGTTTTAGTTAAAGTTGTAAACACCTAGAATTATTTTTTAACAAATAAAAAATAAGTAAACAACGATTTCAGTAATTTGATCATTGATTAAAAGGAATGCAGGTACCATTTCATGATATTTCTTTTGAAGATCTTTTTCTTGTTGAAGCTGTTCTCGAATAACAGATAGAAATCGTTCATTTAGAGCACCTTCGGTATCAGCATCATCTCCTTCATGTGGAGTTGATGCTTCTGACGTCCCAGACGAGCTGTAAGAAATAGGAAGAATTAGTACATGTATGTATTAGATTAATATTTAGTTCATGTAATGACTATTGTAGTGTTGCATTTTAACAACTCACATATTTTGTCTGGACAACCTCTTCACAAGTTTGTTACTCATGTAAAACTTGGGTTTTGGCTTTTCAGTGTCTTGCGAACCACGTTGAATTTGTAGCCTACTTCTTTCCTGTAATATTTCAAAATAAAGTAAGAACACGTATGATGATTCAAAACTATGGTAGATAGATAAGTTATTTCATTACTTTTTCATGCTTTTTTCTCAAGGCCTCAAGCTTCTTATCCATCTCTTGCCTCTTCTCTCTAACAGCTTTGCTTTTCATAAGCTCTTCAAGGGTTTCAACATTCAGCTCTTTCTTGACTAAAAATCAAACAATTTTTTTTTACATAATATACAAACATAGCAATTTAGTAATAAAACTCGGTAAGTAACTGCTGACTTACCCTCTTCTAAAAGACTTAATTTTCCTGGCTCCTGCATGCCAGAAATTTCTCCACTAGTGGAACGCACAACTGCTGGTGCACTAGAAGACTGAGCCCCTGGTGCAATGGAGTGTCGCTTAGCAGTAATACTGGCAGCTGCACTCGCTCCAGCTGCTGCGCCGGCAGCGGCTGAACTTGCTGCAACACCTGCTTGTCCAAGGAGCCCAGCAAATGAGCCTGGTACACCTTTTGTCAATTTAGGAGGTGCAATCATTCCAGACACTGTGTCATCAGCATCTGACATAGAGCGATCACAGAGTGCCTTACTGCCGTCCCCATTCTAAAAAAAAGAAAAGGGAAATAAGAAATTTGAAAAAGATACAGTCTGTACATCTAAGAAGCTGCAGTTAAACTACAACTATAACAAGGAAATTGCGATACAAACATTAGCATTCAAAACTTACATGAGCACCATGACGACCCTTTCCACCTGGTCCCCCAAATGAATCATTGTCCATCTCGTCCATGTCTTCTGTGAGACCAGCAAGCATAGTGTTGTGTTTTTGTAGCTTGTTTTGATATTCAGTGGGATTAGTGAGAGCTTCGGCAAACATGTGAAACTCGTCCGGGACAAAGTCGTTAACGCTGATAAAAAGGAACAAAGTTGCCAACAATGGCTGTCCTGCTTCATTACGCAACGTCACATGGCGGTATCCCGGACACAATCCAACCAGAGGCAATATTCTGTGCCCAATAAATTTTCCTGATCCAGATTCCTCATATGCAGCAATACGTATGGAAGCAAGTTCAGGTAAGACAATCTGCAAATGCAAAATAATAAGACTTGAAGATCAACAACATCACTTCTACATTTCATTGTTGACAAGTGGAGGAGCCATGGAAACAAACAACAACAACTTTAAAGTGAAGAGGAAAGGAAAACATAATAAATTTTTGTGCTGTGTCCATGAATACTTAATCAATGGAGAAATTACTGTAGGTAATTTGAAGCTTCAATGCAATAAAGCAATAGAGCTATGAGATATTTTAAATATGAAGCCTGGAACAAAAGTAGGCTCTTATCAAATGAGAGTACTAGTTACTCATCTTCCTGCAAATAATACTCCTGATCTACTGCCCAATGAAATTTTACTAAGTATCTTCAAATATATCAACTCCCATGATCTCCTTTACAATGTGGCAAATGTCTGCAAACGATGGCATATTTTGACACAAGACTCAAGTCTGTGGCGTTCCCGCAGCATAGATGATGAAGATATGCTAATGAATGATCTGCAACTACTAGCATTAGCACCGACTCTGAACAGAGTATCACTGCATACAGATTTTCCTAAAGATGAAGTGCTATCAGCATTGCTCTCTGGGAGCAAAGATCTACAGAGCCTCAAGCTTCATTTCCGAGAAGGACCCTTAAGTGTGCCACAACTAAAAGATTTACTGCCTGCATTTCCAAATTTGAGAAGCCTTGATTTGCAGCTCCCTTCTGCTTCACATGACCAAGCACTTTTCAGTGCTTTCCATGCATTGATTAAGCTCGAGAGCCTTAGACTAACTGGTTTTGTTTCTCCAGTATCTGAACTTCTAAATGCTATAACAGTGCACTGTATTTCTTTGCATACTCTTCACTTGGTAGACTGCTTAATATTTTTTCGAGATGAGCATCTTGTTGCTCTTGTTTCTGATGGGAGGCCATGGAAATCTCTAAAATTGGTCACTTATTTCATTTCTGAGGCTGCTTACAACTATTTTGCATGTCTGAAGGAACTTCAACAGCTTGCCCTAATTAAGTGCAAGTCATTGACAGAGGAAAATTTGCTACAAATAGCATCACTTCCTCACCTAACAGAATTAACTATATCAGAAAACTGCCTATTGAGTTCAAGTGGTTTGAGCACTTGTTTTCAAATCCAACCTATGGCATCACTCCTTGATATAGATCTTACAGTTTACAGGTGAATCGTAGTTTTGAAAATATACGTCCAAATCTGTCAAATAAAATGAATCAATGATCCTAAACAATTTTATTACAGAGCAGATGATGATGTTGCCTTGGCCATAGCCACAACATGCAGCCAGCTAGTTCGCCTACGGCTGGCAATGTGCCTTTTGACTGATGACGGCCTGCGGAGTATTATTCTCAATGCTTCAAAGCTACAAGATTTGGATTTAGAATGCAATATTATTCGTGGACAATGCCTCTACCTGATACCAAACCATTTACCAAACCTAATTCGGCTTAATATTCATTTATGTTACAATGTTTTGGTCAATTTAAATGAAATTGTGGCAAGACTAACAACATTGAAAATTATAGATCCTGCAGGTATTGTATTAGCTGGCAGAGCAGTAAAATCCAATCGGTCATTTGCAGCTAAATGAAAACCAGAGGCTAGATGCCAGCACAGTAAAGATGATTATGACTACCATTACCGAGAGGAAGTTGTACTTTTTGAACTGTTACTTACAATGTTGCAATCAAAAGATTTGTCTTTCTCTTCTTCCTTGTTATATACTGGATTAATACCATTGTTGGGAACAACTCGTGTTCTGAATTTCTTTCGCAACGAATCAGCCGGAAGCCCATACATATGAACTTCAACATAGGTTCCAACACGTTTATCAGAAAGAAATTGTCCTGATAATACAGTAATTTTCACCTGAGAACAAATTTTACAAATAATTATAGAGGATATTGAAAGTGAGATGAATCAAATTGATTGTCTGTGAATTCCAAATTATACTAACAGTGCCTGCTATTATTCCATCAATGCTAGAATCCTCAAAAATGTCAATTTGACGGTCCTCTCTTCGGAAGAACTCTGGCTTTAATAGGTACCCACACCTTTGATTGTACTCAAACATGCCAAGGTTGTACTGCATCCCTAGATCTGAAGATAGAATTAAGCAAAGATAATTTTTTTTAAATCTTAAAATGAATGTAATTTATTTGAACTGTAAAGTGTAGTTACAGTGTCAAAACTACGATCAGTTTTGTACATACCAAGAGTTTGATAGTTCAGAGCAACCAGTTGACAACCTGCATTCCAAAAGAGCTGCGGCATGAAATTAGAAGAGTCAAATCTAATTCCAGCTGGATAAACTCTGCTAAGTTGACGTTTGTTGTAGTTTACAAACTCAGTAGGGTATTCTCTGAGAAGACTTATGGCTTGTTTCTCATCAAAAGAAGACATCTCATAGAATCGCTTCTTTTCTGCAATTTAAGATGAGTGTGAGCACCAAATAATAGTCAATAGGTTCACATAGACAACATATGCTTACCTTGTGCTTTCTCAAAAGAAACAAAATGTACTGGCTGAACATAGTTTACAAGAGCTGAAAGTTCTTCTCCTGCTTCAGTTTCTTTAGTCTTTGATGCCTTGTCTTTGTCAGTTTTGCCAGCTTCATCGTCACTACTACTGTCATCTGCAAAGCACAATGGGTCAGTATATCATTAAAGAATTTCTATTAAGCAATATAAACTTTGACAGATATGTTGGCTATCATACCATCATCATCACCACTGGGTTGTCTTCTTTTCGCGGCTGCTCGAACCTGAGCCACATCACCATTGCTAGCTTTGTTGGCTTTGGGTGATGTGACACTGTCTAAGATATCAGATTTTGGGGTTTGTTCAGGGGTGCCCCCTTTATCTGGAGGAATGGGTGCATTAACAGTTGCATCAGATGTTTGAAATTCTTCTGACTGAGCTTCATTTACATCAGAGCTTTCACCCTCATTGACAGTTTCTTCATCACCATCATCTTGAGTTTTCAATTCAACACCACTAACATCTTTATCTGTTAAGTCCTGTTTCTCTGCCACTGGAACTTCTGACACAGTTCCTTCTCCAGGCAATTCTGCTGCAGTTGAGGCACTTTCAGATTGTGCAGTCTCAGTAACAGTAGAGTCAGCTGGAGCAGGTACAGGAACAGTTTCCACTGTTGGACTTGCCTCTGCGTCAGATGATCCTGAGGAAGTTTCACCTTTCTTCTTTTTCTTATTTTTAATGATTATCTTCCTTTTCAAAAGACTGGGAGGGGGCAGAGATTCACCTTTCAAGCCATAAGAATCTAATGGAGCATCCAACAGCATGTCTCCGAAAATTTCCCTGCAGTATTCAGCAATTTTTGATTGTTGCTTACGGTTACAATGGTTTTCAAATGAGAGGATGACTGGATACTCTGATGTTTTAAAGGCACACTCAGCAATTGCTTCAATCACTTCCTAGAAAGGGAAGAAACAGAACTTGAGTACAAGTTCTAAAAATTTGTTGAGGTTTAACACTGATAATGAAAAAGGAGATCAAACCTTTGCTGACACTTCTGGCACAAATGTATAACCGTGAACAATACATGGCTCATCTTTTGGACCGTTCCAAAAGTCCAGTTCAACACATCGACATCCAGCAAGTAAGCACTGGCGGTAAATTTCAACTGATGATTTTCCAGTGATCTGGTGACCTAGAGAGTCAACAAGAAGAAATGATTAACCTCAAACACAAAATGATTTAAATAGAAAGTGCTTGTTCAATAATAATTGTATTAAAAGCTCACCAGTCAAGTAAGTGTTGTGGCTTGAATTTATGAAATAGTGAGCTAGAGGGTGCTCCATAATCTCTGGGTTGCTAATTTCTAGTTTAGAAGGAGCAATGATAGGATTATCATCGCTCATAAGAAACCTTAGAAATCCATCAAAGCTTAGTTGATGTTTGCTTCCATTTTCTTTTTTCCTTTCATACTGCTCAATGAGAGCCTCTACATTGTGTGTTTTTGCATAAGGATGAAGAATTTCATTCAAACGAGGATCTCTTTGAGTTCCATTCAAGAACTGCATAAATTCATTAACGCCAATCATCTTAGTGGCTGGATTACACCTGAAATTTGTTAAAAGTCAGACATGTATGAAAAAATTCCATTAAAAAATGGAGATACAGTATGAATGTTTTGTTCCAGTACTAATACGTACAAGCTATCATATATTTTTTGAACCTCCGAGCGTTGCACCAATTTCTTGTAGAGAGGATAAAAGTGATCTTCAAAGGTAAACTGGGCTGAGTTCACAACAGAAGCCTGAGAATAAAAAAAAGAATGAACATGGTGCTTAGTTTTGAAGTGATAGACAGGTCTCTCTAAAATGTAAAAGTCAAAAGATTTTTTTTTTCTTTTCTGAAAGTGACTATTGTATCCTGTTCTTGTTATCATAATATGGTTTGCTAGTTACCTAAAAAGGATCCTATTATTTTACATGGTAACTCATGTAGACAGGTAGTGTTAAACGCATACAGCAAGTAGATATTGGTGTCAAAAATGATCCCAACTCAATATGTTTGTGGTGATACATTAGTATTTTACAATAATTATTATAATGATGAGTTTGATGTGCCTTTAATGTTCACATCCTTAAATTTTGAAGCTAATTTGCGTGCATTGGTATTTGAGTGCTTACAGGGATGCAAGACCCAGTGCTGAGGTTTCTCATTTTGTATTATTTAGGTTGATTTACATGGCCGCATCTACTCATCATGCACTATAAATTTACAATTAATGAAAAAACAAAAAGGTTAGTGCTCTAATTGAACAAAACCTGTTTTCAAAACATCAATGTTGACTGTATTGATTTTCACTGAACATTGACTAGAAAATTTCATGCAAAAAAATATATTTAAAAGAAAAAAAATAATGATCTAACACCAACAGCACTATTTTTGCATCCTCGGTGCAACAAGTTGTTCGATAATTAAATCACAGCAAGGTATTTGAGATTATGTCTTTGAAATTTAGTGCATGAGTGGTCAATTGGTACATTTTAAGCAGAGGTCAACATTTGTGATAGGGTTTCAGTGCAAAATGTCTAGACCTTATGTTCTCTAAAACTCAAACCCTCCATCAATGTACACACCATGTACCATGTTCGTCCATTACTGTGATTTTCGCTTAGCCCCGCTCATGTCTGAAAAAGATGTGTTATCAAAACTAGATTTATAATTTTAACATGATTAAAATTTGGCACATTTAAAAGGGGATTTAGATATATCATCCTGAGTATCACTGATGCAAATTTTAAAAATCTATCATTATCTAAGATTAGTTGGACCTTTAAGTCACTTTAAGAAAATAAACGCCAGAACATCTTGAACAAATAGTTGAGCTGGATACAAAAACATAAAAAAATGAAACAGCATAAAAAATTCCTGAAAGAAAATACTATTAAAGCATAGTTGTGTTTACCAAACAAACTAAAACTTTCAAATAAAAAGGCAACATGTTTATACCTTTTCTTTAGTAACATCGGGGCCATATATAGATTGTAGAGCTTCCTCCACTCTCTTCTTATCCTCCTTATTTTGGGCAAACATCTTCACAATACTGCAAATTCATGGGCATTATCAGCATTTTTCTTTTAACACTTTTAGGTTTTCATAATGTTCCCAATACTATGTATTACCTTTTGACAGGAATGTTACCAGTTTTCTCCACCTGAAGGCAAAGCTTAGTATGCACTTTCATTAAGAATCTTATTGCGGAGCCATTAAGAAGTGATAGACTGAATATCAACTTGGTTAATTCATCTGTCCATAACTGTGGGAAAGAAATTTACAAAAATCATGTTGTGACCCACTTCAACACGTATCTATTTTTGATGTAATGCCTCATCAATCTTTCTGTTACCTGGGCACTTTCTTTCTTAGTTGTGTAAAAATTTATAAATGTCAGATTGACAAAGTCACTTCCATGGCAAATTGTGACAGTACAGTCTTCAAGACAGAGAGAAGGTATCTTGTCCGTTACATTTTCTTCAGCATCTCCTTTACTACCAGGTGTAGAATCCGAAGGCGTTGATACACTTTTATCTGACTGTTTTGAATCCCTCCCAGAAGATGAACTCTTGTCCGACTGCTTTGAGTCTGGTCGGCTTGAGGATGATGCATTCTTGTCTGACTGCTTGGAGTCAGGTTTATCTGGTGTCTCAGCTTTACTACTTTCAACTTTTATCCCACTTTCCACTTTTCCACGAATTTTAATATCCTTGAAACAAACAAAGAATTGTCAGAACCAAAGTCATAACAAAAAGATGGACTAACAAACAAATTCTACCTTACCTTGGGAATTTTTGCATATTTGCCAGTTCTTGCATCCCTTATTAAAGATATATCAAGCGTGTCGAGAACCTCCTAACAAAATCAATTTAACCAGATTAAAAGACACAAAACAAATAAAAAGTTCTATTAAAATAAATTTACCAAATTTTACCTTTGTGGTTTGGTCTGCCCAATACAGGAAGAAGCCATTTTCATCAACTCGTAGAACGACAGGAGTGCCCACTCCACTGCTCTGTATAAAACAGAAAACAATAAAACAGTCAACATTTTTTATCTATTTCATTCAAGAAAAGAACACAACTTAGAACCTCAACATTATAGAACATAAACAGGATACTGTCCATTAGCATTAAAATAAAATCTCTTTCTAGAAAATTTTGATCATAGTTTTTAATATTAACGTAAAAAAAAATTGTATTTACAAAAACTTTTCATTTTTTTCACCAATAATACATTTTGATTATTGACTTTTCTAAGCCAAGCAAGTAATGAGGACTGGCAGTCAGATCCAGGCAGACATTTCTTTCTGCATTTCTGATACCTAAAGGTGAATTGGTGAAATATCCAGCGAACAGGGCAATCATGTGATGGCCGGATGGACAGGGAAGGAGCGAGCGCGAAATGGTAAGGTATGCGCGGGAAAGAAAGGGAAGGTAACCTCACCTCGTCCCACTTGATGAACTCCTCCCCCTCCTGCAGCCTCCTCGGGACCTCGGCCGTTTTGATCTGCTGGACTGTGGGCTGCCCGTAGGTCTTGGGCGGCGGGGCCGTAGGGCCTGGTGTCGAAGATGAGGCCGATGCCATGGTGTCGCGAGTCCGAGACCCGAAATCGGGGTCCTGCTCACAAAGGCCAAGGCCCAGCCAGGCACGGACAGGACAGTCCCGTGCCCCGTCCCCCTAGCAAGCGGCCGGGGTGGCGGGGAGGGCGCGGGCGCGGGCGGGGCGCGCGGGATGGCAGGGGGGCTGGTAGCTTCTGGTGGGGCTCCCACCGAGATGATCACAAAATGCCGTACCGGGTTTAGGCGCGCCTGCCCGCCGACCCCCACATAGGGGACCCGCACCAGGCGCAGTCGGAGCAGGGCGAGCAGGGCCCTCGCCGCAGGACTTGTGCCCCTGCCAGCAGCAGGCACTTAGGCCTCGCGCCTCGGCCCCGCTGGCCCCGTCCTGTGCCAAGGGCTGTGCCTGTGCGCGGGGAAGGGGGACCAGGGGGACTCGGACGCATCGTGGGTCTGGACACCTCAGGCGGGAGGCTCCGGCATAACCCGACGTAGGTCTACTTCAGACCGCCACACGCGACACGCTGTCACTCAAACACGCGACCTATTCACGACCCCAAGCAGACACACCAGTAATTTTTTCTCCCAAAACATCTGTGGCATTTCTTCCCTTTTCCACCAATCAGAAGCACTGACGACTCGGGTCAAGCGCGCGTGTCAAGAGAAAATTCCCGCCAAGTGACAAACTCGAAGGCATCCGCTTTCCACGGGGTAAAGTACGCTGAGGCCACGGGCCAAATTTAGATGTTCCAGTCTTCGCGAGTGTTTTCAGAAGCCTGGTGAAGAAAATGGATCGAGCAATACCTGACTTGCGTTGTTGTGGGTGGCAGGCTAGTCGGAGAATACGAATGTGTGGTCACAGCGCCAGGGAAGTTAAACATCGTTCCAGGCTTCGTTCGCTACCCTGGAGCCCCTGGAGAGGCTAGTTCCGTTGCCATGGCAACCGAGAGCGCGTCCTTCGCCCAGACTCACAGGAACCAGCAACAGCGGCAAAAAATATTTGCGCTATGCCTGAGTTCAAAATACTGTTATTTAACTAAAGGAATAAGGTAATATTAGCAGTGTCCAACAACGTATCCACATTGACAGACTCTTTAATGACAGAAGTTCTAAAACCTAAAAAAACAAAACAAACCTCCAGATATCAGGAGCTATAACATAAGGACTTCCTTCAATAGAAGAAATTCCACAACTAGATAGAACAGATTTAAACTCAAAACGATAAACTTTTAAAAGTGAATAAACAATTATAATTGTTTTCAGTCTTGTAAACCAGACCTTTCAGTCTAAAACAAAAACCAACAAAAGACATATACATTCGATACATTCTTAACCTTGTACCCTCCCAGTGAGAAATTCATGATATAGTTTTGACATCAATTCCACAGTTTTTGACATTGTTTCAATGTCGATTCAACTGTAATTTCTCACTGGGCTGCTAAATGAAAACATACACAGAAAACATGAAAATAAAATTTCAAAACATAACAAGTAAAGTATGGCCATAAGGTGAAAGTACTTACAAAAAGGATTCCACATTTTATGTACACTGCATTGAACTTCAAATTAGGTGCTCCTAGATACATTTAGTCTAAATTCATAAAACTAGAGAAACTAAAATAAAACAGTAGGAAGGAATGAAAGAGAATGTAATACATACAGTTCAGAAGAACATCAGATCAGATTTTGTATGTACTAATATTAACATGTTGAGTGCGGCTTGACCAACACTGTGAGTCCCAATAACAGCCTACACCCACCGCACTCAACGTGTTAACAAATAAGCAGTAGTAGATTTGATCCATTACAACAATAGTTGATGTTTCTATGAATAAACCAAACTTTCAATAAAACTTTTGCTCAAATTTTTAACATACAGTAACTATATGAAATATGATTTATCCACTCATCTGTAACATATCAGCCCATTCAAGTAACCATTTACATACGAAACAAACCAAACCTGGTATTCTCTATTGGGGCGTTCAGAGCAGCGCTTAAACTGAGCCCCAGGACTTTTCTGGTGTCACGAGGATCTATCACACCATCATCCCAAAGCCTTTTTAACAAAAGGAAAATTATATAAGAATTATTTATCAGTACAGGACTTAAAAGCTAATAGATAGATGGATATAATAAAATTCAAAATTACTTTATTACCTTGCACTTGAGTAATATGGGCTCCCTTCTCTTTCAAATGATTGTATGATAGGGTCCTTCAGCTTTTTCTCTTGCTCCTCAGTCCACTGTTTCAAAAACAAAAGATGTGACGACGTACATGGGATAAATAAATCAACTCTATGTCTAAATGTGAAGAAAATAATAATTTTTACAGGCTTACATGTTTTCCCGACTTTTCAAACTGGGTTTTTGTGATTTCTGCCAGAACCCCTGCTGCTTGTTCCCCACCCATCACAGAAATTCGAGCATTTGGCCACATATACAGAAATCTAGGACTAAAGTTAAAGCGAACATATTTGAGTATGGTGAATGAGAAATTTTATTACTTATAAGGGAATGATCCATTGTACCAGAATACATAATTACCTGTAAGCACGCCCACACATTCCGTAATTGCCAGCTCCATAAGAACCACCAATAATTAAAGTAAATTTGGGCACTTTAGCACATGCCACAGCTGTCACCATTTTAGCACCATGTTTGGCAATCCCACTTGCCTCAGCTTCACGGCCTACCATAAATCCTTGAAAAAAAAAGAAATATTCTGATCAATAACATGATTCATCTTTAACTAAATGAACTACTGCGCACAGTGGCTTCCTTTACCAGTGATGTTTTGAAGGAAGATGAGAGGAATTTTTCGCTGACAGCACAATTCTATGAAATGAGTTCCCTAATAAATAAATTTTATCATCAAAATCATTGTAAGTACTACCAAAACTATTGAATGGGAAGATATGGGAAAATATTTACCTTGATTGCTGCTTCCGGGAAGAGAACTCCGTTATTGCCTATAATACCCACTACCTGGCCATAAAGGCGGGCAAAACCAGTGACTAATGTATCTCCATATTTTGACTTAAATTCATCAAACTCTGAACCATCTACAATACGAGCTATCACCTGTAATTAGTAGATAAAAACATATTCTGAACTTATCTTTATAGAGACAGGTTTCCAAGATCTACATATAGAGAAAAATGTAGTACCTCTTTAACATCAAAACTTTTCTTCAAATTTGTTCCAACAATGCCATAAAGTTCATCAGCTGAAAACTTTGGAGAAGAATAACTTGAAGGTACCATCTGAGTGGGAGTAGACCTATTGAGATTTTTAACTATGCGCCGAGTGATATGTAGGGCATGTTCATCATCATGTGCATAGTGGTCAGTTACCCCCGATGTACTATGAATATTTAAAATTCCAATTACATCATCTCAAGTTATTTGATTCAGTTACAGTTAATGATTATGACTTAAATGTTAACACATACCTGCAATGAAGATCAGCACCTCCCAGATCTTCAGCAGAAACAATTTCTCCTGTTGATGCTTTAACTAGTGGTGGTCCAGCTAAGAATATAGTTCCTTGATTTCTAACTATCACAGTCTCTTCTGCCATTGAAGGAACATACGCACCACCAGCAGTGCAACTGCCCATTACAACTGCTATCTGCAAAAATGAACCCCAACAAATTTTGATTTTAAGGTAAAATATTTTAAAATAATATATCTGTCTTAACAAAATTACCTGAGCTATTCCTTTTGCAGACAAATTGGCCATATTGTAGAATATTCTACCAAAGTGATCTACATCTGGAAAAACAGTTGCTTGATGGGGAAGATTTGCGCCAGCTGAGTCTACCAAGTAAATACAAGGCAGATTATTTTGTTCAGCAATTTCTTGAGCTCTGAGGTGTTTCTTTACAGTGACTGGATAGTATGAACCAGCTTTTACAGTAGCGTCATTTGCTACGATCATGCAATCGGTGCTGTATCAAAGTTTGTTTTAAAAGGGATGTAAAATTTGTGTGATAATAGTCTGCATTACTTGAAAGAAAGTTATAATTGTAAACTCACTTAGCAACCCGTCCTATTCCAGTGATTATTCCTGCCGCTGGGATAAAATCTGAACCATACATTTCGTGGGCTGCAAGTTGTGACAACTCCAGGAATGGAGAGCCAGGGTCTGTCAAATGGTCAATTCTCTGCCTAGCAGTCATTTTTCCTCGAGACACATGTCTCTGGACTGCTTTCTCACCACCACCCTGCACAATTCGCCCAACAGTAGTATGAAGCTCATCTACAAGAGCTTTCATACTGGAAAAGTTCTCCTGGAAATAATTTCATAAAATAATACATTCCCACAAAAGGCGCACAAGAAACATGATTGAATTCCTTTACTGGTACGAGGAGATTATAACAACAATAACATACCTTACACAAAATTTAAAGGTGGCAAGGAAAGTACATTTTCATGATTGGACATAACCTACTACCGGCATGTGGACTTACCTGGAATTCATTGCTGTTGTGGTCAACTTCCGTGCCGATGACATTAGGCTCGGAAGAATAGAAACACCTTCTCAGGACATTCCGGTTGCGGAATATTTGGCTGATCCTTGTCGCCAACATTGTTTTTCAAGTCCGATCCCGGGGTAGTGCTGACATGCAACTGGTGTTTACCTTGGTGGTTGAGGCGGCGAGAGGGGAGGGGAGGGAAACGGGAGGGGAAAAGGGGATGTGTGCCGGCAGGGAATGGTTGGGTTGAGAGGGGAGGGGGAAGCGAGGCGCTACAGGATAGGCTGAGGCGCTGTTCTTATCTCATGAATAAGAAATTGAGTCAGTTTTAGCTAATCGAAGGTCATCTGGGAAGGCTGCGTTTTCGTAAGCGGAGCGAACGCTGAGCTGATATTGGTTGTGAACGACAAGGATGAGGAGAGGAGGGGCCAACAAGATGAACTCAAACCGTGCCGCATGCATGCGTGTGCGTCCGCGCGAGCGCACTCATGCAACCCCCACCCCCTCCCTAGTTTTTTTCTGCGATTAAAATCCGTTTCCTCAGCAGATAGCCAGGGTAAATTATACAGCCAGTAGTGTCAATTTACACAGGAAAGATGAACTGACTGACGCGAGAATGGTGTAGGTCTCGCGTGGGGTATTGGCAATAGATTATATAGTTGAGACTCCATGCGCTCAGAGAAACTGTGTGTCGCTTTGGGGGGGGGGGGGTCACCATGAATGCTGAGAACATGCCGCGTTGCCTGACGTCCTCTCAATGAAGCCATTCAGTTAGCGTTTAGCTGGGCGTTCAGGCGTTGCTCCTTTCTGATAGGCTTACAGCGTTTTGAGGATGCGTGATGCGACGCGAGGTGAGAGGTGAAGGGGTGTCTGAGAGGTATATGTCTTCAATGTCTTAATTTTCAAACATTACAGAGCCTGTGGATCATTTGGCTTTACCCCCCTCCATCCCCCATGCACACAACACATGCACATTCTCCAGCAGCAAGCTTGAGGACAACTGCACCGAATGTAGGTCAGCAGCCCCCCTCCCCCCATTCCAGCACCCCTAGCGCAACCCTTACGGCCACGGCCATACCCCACCGTTGCCACCCGCGCACCACCCTGACCCGCACCCCCGCTGTGCGTAGGACGCCGCGCCGGGGACGAGGTGGGGACTGCGTCCGGCTGGGCCCCGGCCTAGCCCCCCCCCCCTTTCCTCTCAGTCCTATTCTGTCTCTCTCTTTCCACCG